GACTGGGATTACTACAGGGGAATCTGATCATTCTTTAGATGGCTTCCCACTCATCTTTGAGTGACAGAACTCTGATCTAACACAATACTAAAGGCTTTAGCTGCAACCTCCAAATGCATCGCTAAGCAACTTGCTAGAGACAGTGGCTAGGACAATGCACACAGCTGGAGGACATGATCACTGTACTCCAGGGCCATCAAGAGTTAATAGGCAGCATAAAGTTGGAAATTCAAATATATCTCCACTATAAGCTAGGCCAGTGGTGGCGAACCTTGGCACTCCAGCTGTGCCAAAACTACAAATCCCAACATGCATCTGCCTCTGGGAGTTATGTCTGTGGCTGTCAGAGCTTTGCAATGCCTCATGGGACTTGTAGTTCCAAAACAGCTGGAGTGCCAAGGTTCGCCACCAGTGAGCTAGGCAATGAAGAAAACGGGCAAGAGATCTAACATCAGAATCCGGAGTATCCCGGAAACCTTCATTGCCCTGAATGCAGCCGTCACCGCATTGCTCCAAAAACTGCCCAGAGATCCCATTTGAAAGGTTGCAAAGCACTGACAACAAGGATTGCTGACAGCCCACCCCAGGACATTGTGGTCAAACTACATTTTTATCATATGAAAGATACTCTTTCATATATGTACTCTATACACTAATGTGTGCTCTCTGTATTGTGCTGTGAGTTGATGGAGATACGATCCTACATAGGGGGACATATAGGCACCTGTAAACTGAATGAATACATGTTTCTGAGCAGCACACCCTTTGCGCCTTTATTAGCTAAGCCTACACCCAGTCTGACTTTCATCAATTGACAGAACAGATTTTTGTTTGCGCATATCCAGTGTTCATGTTGCACTTTTTTTCGGATCAATACTCCATTAATCCATCGAATTTCCTATGATTCGAAAAAGGGTTTTCCAGCCTTACCAATCGAGGACATTAGGCCAATTGTACAGTAATTGTGATCATTCACTTCCCATCAATTGCCAGATTATCATATGAAAACCCGATCTCGTACCATTTCCAACCGATAATCACAAAGTTTATGGTCTCCTTAAACTGAAACTTGTTGTCAACCTGGGTGGTGGAGCGGACAACCCGTGGGAGCACAAGTTTTACGATGCATAACAAGGGCACAAAACCCAGATGAGCCTTTGTGGTGGTCACCAAACCACAAGAGATACCCCTGGAGCATCATGGTGGGGGGTGAACACAGTAATCTGGCATCGATGACTCCACATCCTCAACAACACTTGTGTTGTCACTGGAGAGTGGGATAAAACATTTCATACGGGGCATCTCCTGTGTAGCATCCCCCAAGAGACCCTTTATTGGGTTTTTGAATATATTATCGCGTAATGTAAAAGGCCTGAGTTCTCCTAATCATAAAATGGTCAAGGCCATACAACACTTTTTTCACTGCAGGTGGTTATTTGCCATTAGGACCTTCACTTATCCAATAAGTCCAGTTGTTTCAAGTATACACATGGGACACTAATTATATACGCTGACTCAAACACCCTAACACCTTAAAGAAAAAAAACGGGGTGAACCCCTACCAGATATGATACCTGACTATTTCTCTCGTACCCTTTGTGCACTATTTCAACAATATTATCTGGCACGAGCTCTAACCGCTCAAAGAGGACTATACCCAGTACAGTCATAGGATTTTCTCTCTAGGTTAGTACACATCTTTATCACCAAGTACACCTTACACTTATTGGAATCCGGAAACCTAATCGCCATCCGATTGTCAGATCATGGTGCAGTCCTGTCATTATTCTCATCTGTCTTTTATGAAACCTCAAGATCATAGCTGGGTTCTGGATAGTAAGCAATTGAGACAGTCAAATCCAGAAACTCATGTTGTACTTCACATGGAGCTTCCCAAACCAAAAACAATTGTGTTGCCAAACTCAAACAGCTGGAGACCCAATTCTCTACTCTTAAGTGCTGAATGCAAATCGGCCCTCGCTTTAGACCTCGGAAAGGAAATTAACTTCCGTCCAAACTAAATTGCTCATCTGCCTAGCTACGCAAGTGGAAAAACAAATGAGATGGACCAGAACTAAATTCTACATTCATGCTAACAAGCCGCCCTCCCTCTTGGCTAACCGATTATGTTGGCCAGAACCACAAACAAAATCCATACGTGTAAAAAATAGGCAATGCTTATTTCACCAGCAACCTGATTAAGGTACTCTGTTTCATGAACACTTCGCTGACTTCTATCAGACCCCTACCACTTTTGATCAAGCCTCTGCCTTCAGGTTACTCTCTGACCCCTGCCTCCCATCTCTGACAACTTATTCCAAGCATTGAGTCCCATCTCCCTCTCTGAACTATTAGCGGCAATCACATATTTAAAGCTACAATAACACCCTTGGCCAGACAGTTTTCACTGTACGATACCAGATTTGCAAATCTATTGGCCCCACGGCTGGTTCTCTTCTACAGTGATGTTTTGAAGGAAGGCTTCTAGCCAAGATCTTAGCCACATGCCTTTTAGTAAAGGCATTAATTAGCAGAGATCAAGTAGGCTTCAAGCTAAGCCATTAACAATGTACATCACATTCTCCAACTTGTACACAGATCAAGGAAAATGCAGTGTCCATCATTTCTGCTGTCTTTAGACATAAAAACCTTAGACTCCGGGCATATCTTATGCTCCTTTAAACACTGGGGATTTGGACCATATTTCAGAAAATGGGTGGACCTCCCTCTTTAAAACTTCAAATGTTTGGTTTATTTTTTACAATAGGCTTCCACTCACCTTACTTAGAAATAGCCACGGGAACTAGGCAGGGCTGTCCAATGTCTGTCCACCCCTGTGATCAAACCATTAGTGATGGCCATCAAATTGGACCTGAATATACAGGGTTTGCATCTGGCATGTTAGACCATAAAGTCTGACTGTGAAACATCATGTTTCTTAGTAATCCTCTTATTGCTTCTTGGCAGAACTGTGTAAAACTGGATTGACAGAAGTACAAATCCTTTGGCAGGTTAAACAGCTCCAGCATGTATCTTATCTGTGTATTTAGTGGTTTTGCAGAATTAGGTGAATATATGCCTGAGGGATAAACCTCTTTGCACTGTAGCAGAGGAGTCAATGCAGACAGTTGGTTTTGGCAGCTAGTGTTCTGGAGAGGTGGTACAGCAGGTGGTAGGTGTGCCAGTGATGTATTTTGTATCGGAGGAAGTTGAGAAGTTGGTTAGTGTCATTGGAAATATTCGCGTTAGCAGATTGTCCTCCAGGCAAAGAAAAAGTATGGGAAATAATAATCAATCCTTTTGCCTAGCTGGGCTGTGCAATGAAACTTGTATTAAAAATAATTTATTATAAGGCTTTGTACACCCAATTTCTGTAAGCTTGTATAAGGTGTAAGATGGTAATTGTAGTAAGCAATTGTGCTTTATTTTTCCTCAATTGGGGGTAAGTTTATCAAAACCATCTTTGCAATTGTTAATCTGTCACTTCTATTTATAAAAATTAGGGAAAGATTTATTTTCTATATGCGGTTTGGAAAATTAACATATCTGTGTGTGCATATCGGGCTAAATGTCATCACTAAGTGCTCACAGATGTGGCACAACCGAGGCAGACAAAACTAAAACTCACTGTGGACCAAAAAAACGTTACCTTTTTGCATGGAAATTGCACATGAATCGATGTACAACTTCTTTAGGGCTTGTTCACACTATCTTCCGGCTGTGCTGGTTATTTTTACCAGCGCAGCCCTAACGCAAGACAATTTGCCTGGTCATGGATGGGATCAGTTCACACTTCTGGTGGTGTGTGCTTAACAAAAGTACAGCATGCAATACTATTAAGTACAACCACATTGCACCGCAGTGAGTCCATAGAACTTAAAGGAGAACTTTGGGGTTAGGGCTTTTCCCCATAGTTCCCCTTAGGGTAACGGGAGGACACAAACTAGTGTCCTCCCGTCACCCTGAGCTCAGTATACCGCGAGCTACGGCTTTTCCCTCCCCTGTCACAGCAGAGAGCCGTGACAGAATCGAGAAGTGAGCGAATGCCGGTATGTGTTCGCTCACCTCCCGATCTACTGAGCCGACCTGTGACAGTCTCATTGTCACAGGTCGGATAGAACTATGAGGTGAGTGAAAAGCACGCACCTCATAGTTCTCCTTTAATGAAATGTCACTTGTGACAGTCAAAAAAAATGTTCTACACAAAAAAAAGAGAAACTGTGCAATGCAACTTGATCAAGCACATAGGCAATGTCCGGGGGCACGCACAACAGTAGCCGTGCAGGTAAGCGCAGCTGAATGTAACCTAAAAGTGTATTTAAACACGAAAACGTAATATACTGCAGCTTACCAGTCCTTTTAGATGAGGGGGCTACATTCGTTTTCACTTTTCCAGCTAAGGACATTTCCACAAGTAGAGAAAATAACCGTTGATCATGACAGACAGAAATGCAATGTCGTTGTCACTTCCGTGAGGTTGAGTGCAAAGAACCTTTCTTCTTTATTGCGTTACCCTGTAGCCCTATCAATCCACCATGAAATGAAGATGAACAAGAGCAGACGTTTGGTATGACTACCATGGCTACCCATTATAGATACAATAGAGAAATGACGGTAAACATAAAGAATCATGACGGGTGTTATTTGCAGGGTTAGCAAGGAAAAAAAGCCTGAAAGAAAACAGTGACCCTGCATCTAAGAACTGTTAAGCTGCAATATATTCCATTTTTGGTTTGGGGTTTAGATACGTTTTGAAGGGAGCAAATGAGAGAAGTTCATTGGATAGGTGTACATACATTTTAAATGCATTACTGAATGGATTTTTAGAAAATGAGACGGCTGATAACTGGCTGGTAAGGTGGTCCACATCTTCGCTTTTCCATGAAACCCACTGTACTTAATATAATCCTGGAAAATGTTAATGTTTCATGATCTGCAGTACAGCTGTATAAGTCCATTCCTTTTGTTTAGGCTCATTTTCTCCCGTTTTTCTTCCACAGGTTGGTGACCTAGTGAAAGTAACAAAGATTAACGTGAGTGGTCAGTGGGAAGGAGAGTGTAATGGAAAATACGGTCACTTTCCATTTACACATGTACGTCTGCTGGATCAACAGAACCCTGATGAGGACTTCAGCTGAGTGTGACTTGGACCAGTTCCCAAAATGCGAACAATCTTGCTCTGTTTCCCTCTTTCTCCATCTGCCATTTATATTGCCTTCCACAGGTTTTCGAGATGTGTAGCATACTAAAAGTAGCAAATGCCCCAGAACCCCTTCAGTTGTGATCAGGCAGTTCCTCTGAGATTTGGCAGAGTCAGGGTACAAGCTTGCATTGTGTTTTTTGAAAGTAGGCAATAATGAAACATCACAGCACGGCAATACCACATGCAGATGCAGTGAACTGCACGGTTGCTTATAGCAAGGCATTTTATTTGAACAAGAGACATTTTTTACAGGGCTTTTGTTCTTTCTCATTTTGTATAGTTTCCAGACCAGCATAAGCCTCAAAATCTGACATTGGACATCACCGTTTTCTAAAACTGACTTTTAATGTTTCCTTTTGTAAACACTGTACACCAATTTATTTGGTTAAATTATGCAAATTATGTTCAAGTCAGCTGTAAATGAAAATCAAAGAGCTGCTTTGCTTTTTCCAGTATTATTTCTTTAATCATATACATATATATATTATATGTATAATATATATATTAAAC